AGGAGGCTTCCCACGGTCTAAATGAAATTATGAAACTCATTAAGTTGAGTTTATTAAATTCATTTGGACTAAGTGAGTCCAATAGAAAATAGTGGTGTCGGAACAAGGGAAACGTAGGATCCAAACCGGTGTCGCTTTAATCAACTTTAACACCTTCCATAAAATTTAAAGAACTTCAACCATAGGGCCATCTGATTTGACATCAAACCTGACACATTAGAAAACTTAAACTCGTCATGATAAGGAGCTTGAAGCTAGCATGGTGGGCAGCAAGACCATCTTCAACATCAAAACATGTCTACATCAGCTAAACCATTCCTTCCTTAGAATTAAACAACCAAGCCATATGATTTTGAGGTTGTCTTCTTATGCAACATAAATCCTCACCTTATCTTTAGGCCTTTGTACAACTCTGTTGTACAATATAAGTCCTAACTCGTCTTATAATTCTGAGGTTGTCGTCCTTCATGACCTAAATCCTCACATCTTTGAGGCCATTTGTGTGATCGTTTCACATGAATGCAAGCCCTAAATAATAAAAATGTAAGCCCTAACCTAATTAAATAAGATTGGCATGATGAAACACTTAAATAATTTTTCCTCAAAATTGAAGTCAAACAATGGGATAGCTTGGGAAGTCACCGAGGTTCTCCTTCGGATCCATGACATCTCCTAGTTCTTCTTCCTTTGGGTTCCAAAAACAAAATGCTCCAAATTTGAGCCAATCCCATTTCACATCTCTTTGCCCAATGTCATTGAAAAGTCCTATCCTTTTGAAAACCTTGAAGATAATATTTCCTGATTTTTATCGAGAGCTCTAGTTTTCTTAGATGACTTCGGTCATTTAAGATGTAATTAACTATAGGGGTTTGCCCTTATAGGAAGCTTGTCCGAACCCAACTTAATATAAACCCTATTTAATTCTTCATATTAAATAAGAGAATTTGTCGACAAATAAAATGATTTCGTAGACCAAACAGACGTTATATATTTCTCAGTTTATTTGATCGAGTCTCATCCTCAAGTCTTGTGTTTATCCTTCAGGATATATACAAGGTTTAATTTCATTTAAACTATAAAAAAATATGGGGTCAGTTTGATTTTATATTTTTCTAAACATTAAAATGTCCTTCCGAAGCGTGCGACGAGATTTCAATTCCGGTGACCGACAACTTTTTACGAGCAACTCATCAACCAAAATAGTGCCGACACACTGCTATGAAGTTCTCTGACTCTGACTTCTCTGACCGAGCTCTTACATGACTCACAAAACTTCAAAAATCACAAAGACTAACCAAAGTGTCCGCCCACTCTATATGGGTGCCCCACACTCTCTAGCACACTCCAACACTCTCCATAGAGATTTAGAATTAATTTATATTTATAGAGCTTCGAAATGACCAAGGGTTGCTTCAGACATTTCTTCAAAATTTAGCCACATTCAATGGATCTTCTAGAAAACAACTGTGGTGCCTAGCCATCAAAACTATCGCACCTAGGTCCCAGCCGCGATCTTCATATGGCGCCAAGGCGCCAGTTCGTCTGTTTTTGTCAATTTTATTTGGTTTTGTCCATTTTGCCACTTTTTGAAGTATTTTTGCTTCTTTTTTCTCTTAAACTCTTTTTCTTGCACTTGCAACAAAAGACACAAAAATTACATTTTCATTAAAGCATAATATCCTAAAAAGTAAGTATAAAATGTGCATAAAAAATATGTAATTTTAAGGTGGATCAAGCAGCAATAGCTTCTTGTGCTGTAGATGACAACATAACACCAATAACAACAGCAACTTCTTGTGCTGTAGGCGAACAATAACACCAATAACATCATAATTAACCACTACAACCTCCAGGTTTTATGCCATAGTAGAAGGTTGAGCAGACAAATTGATATTTTGGGTCGTTTGCTTAAACGTCCTCCTCGGAGAGCCAAAGAGTAAATTTGATGATCCCAATTGTTCAAATCGACACAAATGCTTTCCTTTTCTTGGTAATGAATATATTCTTCTTTTTACCTTCTAGGCGGTACAACTCATTCGGTTTCCCAAAGGCAACACAAACCAGTTCTTTCCTGCAGACAACAATTAAGGGATTTGACACGTTCTCCATAGCAGCACTCAAAAGCTAACATATTCAAATAAGGAATGATATATAACAAATATGGAATGTCCAGAGTACTATCACTTTTTATTTATAAGGACAAGACATGGAAATCAATGGAGTTCAATTATTGAATCATTGATTAAGAATAAATGCAATATATTTTTTGCATTATATTCTCCTATATTCATCACAAACATTATTTTCAAGAAGTAAGAGAATCGATGAACTTCAATATATACATAAAACTGTGCCAACATTGATCTTGAGGAGATCCAACGGACAGGAGAAGAAGAGTATGACGAAGGAGGGCCCGTTGACAGAATAATTTGAGGCTCACTTATCTAATTGGATGTCACCGTCCAAGCTAAGCCAATGTCTGCCTAGCTATGGGGAGGAAAAAAGATGACCAAATGACCCGAGTCCGAACCATTCATTCATAAATGATAAAAAGAGACATCTAAGCCAACTATCAAGAAGAAGTCAACCCAAGAGAAAGCTCCAATCCATGAACATTTCCAATTACACAAATGGACATCCGGAAGTTCTATCATCTATTTTCAAGGATTAATAACTAGTCTAGATCAACCGACCGATAATGCCGACCATGACTAGCTGATCGAACCAGCTGTGCAGACCCGGAGCCAGTCAAACTCAACCGGCTGAGCAAGAGAGTAGCCAGGTGATAGTCTCATGCATGTAAAATACCAATAATATCGTGTACAACCCTCTTTAATATATGGACAAAAGTGTAATATCATTATACAACACTCTCTTTCCTGTAAATAGAGAGATCATTTCATGAATAAAACATGACATATTACTATTCATTACGGTTCATTCATATCTCTCCCTCTATCTTCTTAAGCTCAATTCATAAGGTGCGGATTATGGACACCTGTTTATTATTCTTTCTACTTATTTATGTTATATTCATTAGGTGAGATTCATGCACAAATTAACATTGAAAATTATGCATAATTTTACATAAAAAAGTGTTATTAATATATTTATTAAATTAAAGATATTATTATATAATTACATAAGCACTATTCAGTATTTAAGTAAAGCCCCCAATATTTAAATTTAAATAAATACAAAAATTCATGAGTCCAATTGAAAACAAATTATTCGCTAATTTTTTTTTTCTTTGGTTCACTGTAGGCAGCTGCGAACTAATTAAAATCATCCATACTATTTTTAATTTTTTTTAAAATAAAAATTAAAAAATATAATTGGAGGTCGTACTGAGCTCTGGGTGTCCGTACTTAACTTTTTCCATTCGGAAAACACGACATTCATAACCCGATTTATGTTTCCTGCTGTAGA